TGAAGTGGCGTATGGAATCTACGAGTGGTTTAGTTCCCAGTAAAACACTCTTCTCCATATAATAAATGCATGTAAATATATATGCTTAATTAATTTTAATTTCCCTGTTGTTTGAATTATGAAAAATACATAAATATTTTAAATTTAATCAAGCTAAATGGTGACTCTTTTCTTAAATTTATTTTTTTTTTTGTCTCCGTGAATATATTTTTTGATAGTTTAGTCTGATATTTTTATTATGATATCTTCACTAATATTCATGTTACCTTACCGGTATTTATTGTTACTATTGTTCGTGTATTAATTTTATTTTGCAATGCTTCCCAAATCATAGAAATGGTTATCTTGGTAAGCTTGAGCTTATCTGCGATATTTTTGGCATCTCCACTGTCAGTTTTGGCATAGGAGTTTAGCAAATGGAATGCCTTTCCAAAGTTGCTCAGTCCTTTTCAGGGACCCAATCGATTTGTTACTCTCCTGCCTCAGTCAGACAAAATGTTCCAATACCAAGTGAGTACCGTATGCTAAGGTCGTTCGTAAGGACACTTCCTTTCAAGTTTCGCTAGAAACCTGTCTGGCTCCAGAAAACTTTGGCGACCCAGTTTATATAGTGAATCGAATCTTTTTAGAATGTTTTCTTACCAGACCACCAGGAAATATGCCAACCAAGCTTTCACTACACTTTACAAATGTTCAGAACGACATTTTCACGACGAAATACTACAAACCAGACAAACGAATTGCGGCTAAACACAGAAATTGCACGACACTAAAATGTTCTCCGGTTAGCCTTAATATCACTTTGGTTAGCCTAAACAGCACTCCAGTCAGCTTAAATACCACGTTCTCCTGAACAGCACTCCAGTTAGCCTAAATACCACGTTCTCCTGAACAGCACTTTGGTTAGCCTGCGCAGCGTTTCGGTTAGCTTAAGTTAGTAACCCTTGTGCCGCTAACTGGTTTCCATGCTTTAAAGAGACGAGTTTCTTTCCCTTCCGGCTTCGAGTTCTCCTGCTAAGTGTTCCCGATTGTAGATTTTTTTTTAACCACCCAATTCAACTTTCAGAGAGAATTAGTTTGGCGATTTGTTTTCTTTCTTGTTTTTTCTAAACGCCTGTCGTAGTAATCATACTCACGTGAACGCGAGTTGCTCGCGTGAGCTCGCGTGCACTTAAGTCACGGGACCAAACTAAGTCACGTGTTCCAAATATTGGCCTGGCGGCCATGTAGTCCACAAAGAATCTTCTCAAACTTAGCTTTCGATAGAAACAGTAGCGCAGTCCACGTAAAGTGTATGAGATGATGTGAATACCTGGTTTCATCAAATGTACAAAAGAAATTAACGGTCAAGATAGATAAACATTATGCTACAAGTTGGTTCGTTCAGTTAGGAAATACAAATGTTTACAGCTGGTCGAATGTGGAAGTAAAATCGGTGCAAATAATGATTTACGCTGAAAAAAATGGCCCACTTTTGTCACTCTTTTGCGCTGGGTAAGTGAAGTATTTTAAGTGTAGCCTCAGTTCGGTTTAATTGACTTTGGATGACCATATTTTTACTGCTCGGTGTAAAAGTGACTAGAAAGAAGTGAGCCTTTTTATCTTGATGATCCGGAACACCTCTCACTGTCGTTGTTTATACACTGTAGGTCTTCGAAAGATTTGATTCAGTAATATCGAACAAAAAGTAATAAATGAAATTATTGCAGTATAGTCATTTGTTATCTCTTTCCATATTTAATATATTTCCTGGTGATAACACAGAGCGTCATCTTCAATTTTTTATTAACTCTTTTACAACGAAAATTAATGAAAGAAAAAAAAAAAACCTTTATACAGGAGCCATAATCGGGGACGGAGACCGTGAGCGCGCGCCATTTCTAGTATTGGGGTTGTCCCCATGAT